GTGTCCTGCAGGCTGAAGAAATACTGTGGCTGGCACTGGGCAGCAGGGTGGTCCAGGTCACAGTCCCACTTGATGAGAACTCCAATGCTCCCCCCCTGCAAAACACATTTTACTCCAGGAGAAGCATGGGATCAGAAACTGGCTGAGTTCTTTACTGTTCAGACATTCCTAGATCATACATTCCCTTAGCATTTCAGGGTCAGTCCTGTCCTCTGCCTCTTGCTCACATCCTTGGGGAATTTTGAGTCATCTTCCATACTTCTATAAAAACCAAGTACCAGCAGTGCGAGGTCTCCGAAGTGCTCTCCAGCTGCCTCCACCATGTTACGTACACGGAACACAGGACAGGAGGGGTTGAAGACTGGATCATATGTGCAGCTCTTGAAATAGCTGGGGTCACTGGTTTGTAAAGTGTTGCACCTGAGACAGCAGGGGTGGGGGGACAGAGTGTGGGAGGTCATAGAGCCTGTCTGTGGGACTGAAAAGGGGACCCTCCTGCTGGAGTGGGCCCCCCAGTGCTCTCAGTGGGGGAAAAGTCATTGCCTTGCCTAAAGCCTCAGATGGAGAGAGGGTGGAGTAAAACCATCCCAGAGGAATCACAGAGAGTATTCATCTTTTATAGCATCTGCCATAGCCTTCCCCTGTACCTCCCTGTGTTTCTTCTTTCTCCCCCAGCACCCAGCTCCCACCCAGCTCGACTCAGTGCTCCAGGGGTGACAGCAGGGACAGTTCAGCTGCCCCACACTGCATCTTCTGCCAGGGTAAGGCAGCACAGTCAGCATGCCTGGGGCTGCGAGGCCAGTGCAGCCCTTTACCTGGCTTCTGTGAAACCACTTTGAAAGGACTAAAAGGCAAAAATATTAGTCTCGCTCCCTGGATGGCCTAGTCCAGCTTTCTGCAGTGCTCTACATGGGCACGACCAGTCCCTCTGTCTGAGGTGTCCCTATCCCATTGCTTTTACAGCTGCACACATAGGGTGTTCACCTGAACATCCATCCTGCCTGTAACTGCCCAGCACCACCTGTCCTGGGTGGCACATGGCTTCACATAGCCTCAGGTGCTCAGCCCCATGACAGATAGGCTCAGTGCTAAGGCTGGACTGGGCTCAGGCTGGCTGGGAAGCACCGTACTTACTTGGAGAAGTTAAATTTGGTGAAGTGGACAGTGTTTTTTATAAAGAGAGTGAAATTCTCCGCCTCAGCCAGAAGAGGTTTCCTGGAAAACAACCACCAATGAACTCAAGTCTTGCACAGCCCCATTCCCCAAGCTCCACAGTCTCATCCGCAATCCCAACATTTTGGTCACAATGGACAGCTGCAAGAAACGCTCTTGCGTAAAGTTCTCTGACCTTAACTGACCGGGAGACTGATGTCAAAGGTCTCCCTGAACACAGCTGCCCTTGGGCGAGTCTCAGGGTCAGGCTCCTGGTTAGACAGAGGGAAGAAATCAAAGCTCCCAATACCTGCTATCCCCTTATCTGTGATTACCTGGGCAGGGTACTGTTCTCCACAGGACACCAGCCATAGATCTCACAGGTGGAATGGGTGGCATTGAACATCACACATTTCCCAGTTTTTATCCCTAAAAATGAGAGAATGTAAGATAGGCTGAGAGAGTTGGGGTTCATCAGCCTGGAGAAGAGAAGGCTCCAGGAAGACCTTAGAGCCTCTTCCAGTGCCTAAAGGGGCTCCAAGAGAGCTGGAGAGGGACTTGGGACAACAGTCTGGAATGACAGGACAAGGGGGAATGGCTTCCCACTGCCAGAGGGCAGGGTTAGATGGGATATTTTCCCCTGTGAGGGTGGTGAGGCCCTGGCACAGGCTGGCCAGAGCAGCTGTGGCTGCCCCATCTCTGGAAGTGTTCAAGGCCAGGTTGGATGGAGCTTGGAGCAACCTGGGCTAGTGTCCCTGCCATGGCAGGGGAGTGGGACTGGATGAGCTTTAAGTTCTCTTTCAACCCAAACCATTCTAGGATTTTATGTTTATTAAGCAAAACTCCCAGTACCATTGCCATGAACCACAGGGTTTCCCATGGGACAATCTGCATCTTCTGTGCACATCGCGTCAAGGACAGAGGGGCTCTGGGAGGGACAAGAGACAAGTGCTGTCATTGTGCTGTGCAGCCACCTGAGGCCATGCTGTCACTCACCCCCATTGCTGTGCCTCTACTCCTGTTTCTCCAAGCACTTCCCAAACAGTTAGAGAAGACCATTCACCATGCCCAGACCCTGGACAGCCTCCAGCAAACGAGGAGAGAGGCATGTCTGAGGGACAATCCTTCCCGCCTGGCTCCACGCTATTGGGAGCACATGTCTCCTGCTCCTCAGAGGCAGAGGAATCCTCCAGAGCTAACTCAGACCTTTCAGCTGGAACTGGGAACCAGCAAGAGGGCCTCAATGACTGAGCCCATTAAGCACCTTGTAAAGCACCACAACAAATCCCCTGGGGAAGAGCTTAGTAGACCTAAATCCAGCATAACACAAGTTTTACAAGAGATAGGGAAAGCTTCACCCTCACTCTGGACCCACCTGGTTCCCAGGAGCAGTAAAAACCTCTTATTCAAACACAGAGAGAGGATGGCAGGTGGGGGAATACCACTAACACCTTCTCCAGCTACCCCAGGCCATGGCAGGAGTCACTAGCCCATTAGAAACCCACCTCCCCAAGACCCAGGGGGCACAGAGGCTCAAACGCAGGCAGGGAATCCCCAGTTATGGAGTCAGAAGAAGTGGAGGTCTGTCCAGGCCTTCCCAGGGCTGCCACAGGACAGCCTCAGCCTCTTGTTTAGGTGTGAAATCCACTAAGGTGAGCCAAGAGGAGCAGCAGCTTTGGGCTGGGTGGGGGCTCACTGCCTAGGGGTATGGAGTCATTATGGGATGCAGGAGAACATTTGGGTATTGCACAGGTGTTTTAGGGGATGGGTTGTTTAGGGAAGGAAGAGAAGGCATGGAAAGGAGGGAACTAGGTGGTCTGAAAAAGAACAAACATTGGAAAATAGAGGGATAAAAAGATGCAAGGAGTAACTGCGTGTACAGCTGCTAAAACAGCTCGGCTTGTGTTTGGTGCTGCTTCTGGCCCCAGACACACTGATCTGCCAGCACCGAATACTTTGGTCATCGAGAACAGTCAGAGAATATTCAGACTGCGCTAACTCCCTGCAAAGCCAAAAGCTGTCACTGCTAAATCTTCAAAGCTTTCCAAATACGAATGTCACCTACAGCCCCAAAGCCAGAACCTGAGGAGATCAGCATGGGGTGCAGGCTGGGACAGGCACCCACACACACCCCAGCACTGGAATGGGACGAAATCCTCTGCTCTCTGTGTCTTTGGCTTGCACACTGCAAAACTAGCACTGAGAGATGCCCGTGGCTGCCTGTGAGAGCCCTAAAATGCCCTACAGCACATCTTCCCTGTCAGGACTTCAGGAGTTGTCAGCATTTTAAAGATGGATCATTAGTACCATTTTCCCTGACCCAAAACCAGGGTTGCTCCTCCTCTCCCACAGCATCTGGCCACAGCAGGAGCTGAAGGGACCATTAGGACAATCAGTGCTTGGCTCAGGCACAAGGTGCCAGGAGTGGCTCAGCTTAAAGGACATTTGCTCCCATCTACCAAGCCAGGTCCAGCCTGGGAGAGCTCAGTGGAGGGAACCGGCCTGACCCCAGTCTTAAAGGGAAGACTTCTCTCAGAGAACATATACCACTAAGTGTTGGCTGGCTGGGAAACCACCTAGACCTTGTGTTTTGTTCCTCCTAAAAACAGGATGCTAAGATGGACATTAGTCCTGCAGCAAGGAGTTATCAAGGAAACATAACACAGGTATCCATGGACTCTGTGTCAAAGCATCCCCTTGTTCGAGGGCAGCAGAAAGCCTGGAATGGTCATACAGTGCCACCACTCAAGGAGCCCAGAGCTGGTGAGGCCCTAAGTGTCCCTTGTCCTGGTCACCACAAGCAGTTCTGGCCAGAGAGCATGGATACACACCTTGGCTCATGCAGGCATGACAGAGCAAGTGCAGATGAGCATGGAAGAGCTATGGAGCAGTGAGAATGAGGGGAATCAGGTTTGTTGGGAATATAAATCCATTTTCCCCTTTTATCTGGTCTTCCTCTGGTTTCCACCGAGGAGCGGGACAGATGGCTCCATCCACCACCCCCCGGGGGCTGGGCTGGGGCAGCCCTGCACACTCACCTCGGGACAGGTGCCCTGGGCCTGCTGGGCTGTGGCAATGAAATTGGTCACCAGAAAAAGCACATTTTCTCCCTGGGAAGCAAGAAGGTACCATCAGTGGGGAGGGTGACACCAGGGTGGGTCCAGGGGATACCCTGTGACACCGTCACCGGGAGGAACAGGCAGTAATGGCCACGTTTGGGCTTTGGGAGGCCAATGGTACCGGCGGCGTTCCCTTGCCAAGGGGATTGACCTCCTGTGTGTCCCCCCTGCCCCCGCCCGGGGCCCGGCCGTACCTGCGGGGGCCAGGTGAGATCCGCCGCGTCCCAGAGCCGCCGGCCCGCGGCCCCGGCGGGAGCCGCCCCCTTCACCTTGGTGACCACGGCGACCCGCGGGGCCGCGTCGCGCTCCTGGTACCCCTTCCGCAGCAGCAGCACCCACCTGCGGGGGGGGCCGACGCTGAGGGACCCCCGGCCGCTCCCCGAGGGCAGGGGCGGGGGGGTCCCTACCCCAGCAGGAACCCAAGGCCGCCCCCCGAGGGCAGGGTGGGCATCCCTACCCCAGCAGGTAGCCCAGCGCGCTCAGCTGCAGCAGCCGGTGCAGGAGCCCCACCCGCCGATTCCGCGTCAGCGAGAACTTGGCCGTCTTGTAGTCGAGCAGGAGCCCGCAGGGCGAGCCCGGCATGGCGGCACGGAGGGGGAAAGGTGGACACGGAGCGGGGACAGAGGCCACGGGGTGCGGACTTGGCGGACACCCGCGAGGCACTGAGGGCTCGGAGGGTGGGGACAGCCCCGGCACTGCGGCCCGGACCCGCCCCCGTTGCCGTGGCAGCGGCGCGGCCCGGCCGGAGATGGCGGCGGGCGGAGCGGGGCCGCAGCGAGCTGGGCGGGTCTCCTCCGTCACCCTGAGCCCGAGCCACAGCCACAGCCACACGGTCACTGAGCGGTCTGGGGTGGAAGGAACCGTAAAGCCCATCCAGCCGCACCCCCTGCCGCAGGTAGGGACGGCTTCCGCTAGACCGGGTTGTGTTTTATAATCACAAGGTCATGGCCATGCTTCTGTTTAACTGTAAATATTTTTGAAATTAGAATTCCTGCTGACAGAGAGTGGGATTCTGGGAGCAATACAGGTTTCAATGTCAAGGTCAGGATTCAGAGCATCTGTAAGTAAACTAAAGGGGCACTTTCTCTGGGTGTACTCACAGACTGCCGCATAGAAGTGATGCCCGGAGAGGTACATTGTGGGGCACAGTGGGCCACAACCTTTTCCATTTCCTCTGCATCATGAATAGTGACAGCAGAAGTATTTTTCATCATTTTAATGGGAAGATAAATTCATCCTTTAGCAACATAAATTAAACTGTATCTAGTCTTGTCTTTCCTAGCAAAGCTTGAAATTATTTTTGAAGGGGAATCTTGTACTTATGTACACCCTTGTCAGCCTGTGTTTGGGGACTCCCTTTGCTAGTGACTTTGACTATTTCTTTTCTTGTTGGTCTCAACCTTGTTACTGCTAGTGCTGTTTTCCTTTGGCTCCTGACTTTAAGCAGCTGTTATTTAATTCCACAGCCTTGTGTTCATAGCACTGCTGTGTGGTGAGATGAAACTCAGCTACTGCTCCCTGGGCCTTTGTCAGCACTGGTGTCACCAGGCTCGATTGTGCTGTGCTGAACTCCCCATCCATTCCTCCGGACTCTCCACTTGTGCAGAACATGCCTGGGGAGGTCATGGCTCATCCCTCACCTTTCAACCTTTAGGCTCCTCTCCTTTTTGCACCTTCCTGTCACAGACTTCACCCTCTCCATCTATGGCTGTCCTTGGGCAACCCCAGGCATGTGTATCTCCAAGAGGAAGATTCACAAATCTCCCTACTCCTGGTCTCACCCTGCAGCTGTGCTCCAAATCTCTCTACTTCCAGCACTGTCTGTGATGGGCGCACACTCTTCCATGCCACACCCCGTGCTGTCTGCCAGATCCATGTTCTCCCTGGTTTGTGTCTTTCATGCAAAATTCAACATCTCCTCTCCATCCACTCCCTTACAACCCTCAATCCTCACGCATCTCACCCGCTATAGCCTCCTCCTTGAACATCCTCCATGTCTTCAGTGGGCTTCTCTGACTTACAAGAAAGAAAACAACCTTAATCCTCATCGCTTCTGTCCATCAGCTGTTCACTTGGCATCCTTCCCAGTTTCATTCTGCTTTTTTTCCTCATGTTTACCTTTGGAGGCTGCAGTGGCTGCTTGTCTCCACTCCTGTCCGCCTCACCTCCTGTTCCTTTCACAGTCCAACAGTTCTCCCAAGTCTGGTATTCAAGCCTGACAATGGTTTCCTTTTCTTCTGTGCTGGTTGAACCCTCATTTCTTTCCTGCCCCTTTGGGAACTTGCAGAACACTTGCTGAGGAAACCTATTCTGATTTCCAGGGGCTCTGGGAGGGGTTTAAGAGAGCAGAGCTGGCTGCTCTGCCAGCAGAACCAGCTGGCGGGAGGCTGTGGGAGCTACCTGGTGCTCATGTCGGCTGGAGAAGGAGCTGTGCTGCCACAGCTGCATGCAGGAGCAGCAGCCCCAGCTTTGTCATGGCGATTGGATTTTCAGTCTTTGCTATGTTGGCAACCCGAGGTCAGAGAACACAGATGATTCGCTGGCAGCTTCTGCTTTGGGTTTGTGGTAAATGAGGTAGAAACAGAAATAATGTGTTGTAGTTCTAATTGCCTAGAGTAATAGAGACAGTTGCAGAGAAATACTTGAACTAACTCAATCTTCCTTTTAAACTTAATACTTTTAACTCTTAAACTGTTTGGTTTCATGTATTTTTTTTTTCAGGAAAATTTTTGGAACAGCAATAGCAGAAAACACTGGATTAAAGAAACTTTAAATCAACTGGAACCATTTCCATAGTCAAGGGCAGCTGCCTTGGCCAAAGGCTTGGAGGTGGAAATTGTTTTCACTCCTGTTTTTAAACTCTTGAGAGCTCACATGAAGCTCACTGTTTAAACAAGTGGGAATACCATGATGTGCTGTTGGCCTTGTGCCTGTGCCTGTCCAAGAGCCATCAATGACCCAGGATCATACAGACCTTGGAACTAAGAGAGAAAAATCATCCAGTATGTTGACATACTGCATTTCTCTGTTTCTAGTTTTTCCCTTTTTAGAGTCAAAATTACTATAATGAATGTTTTGAATTATTTAATTTCTAACTGATAAATGAATACAGAAATTGTTTTGTAGTCTATATACAGTTCTTATTCTATTAAAATTTTACTCATTAAAATAAGAAACAGTTTTTCCAGCCTCTCAGGCTGAAAGGGGCTACTGAGGTTAGTGGTTAGTGGTGAGTTGGCAGTGCTGGATTAATGATTGGACTCAATCTTAGAGGTGCTTTCCAACCTAAATGATTCTGTGATTCTGTAAGATTTATCTTCTTTATTTGAAAATAATGCTATGATTTACCTAGTGAAGTCTGTCCTATAAATGTGTAAATCATTTTACAGTTACATATCCAATAAATCAAGCCTGTCCCTTGGACTCACATCTGTCTGTCCACACCATTTGGAGAGGTCTCTTGCGTGTTGTAAGGTCTGTAAATCTGGGCTGTCTCTGTCAGAATCATCCTGACACCCCCTCGATCTCCAGATGAAAACTGCATGTGTTGAACATAGAAGCTTTACAGGCCTTGATTTAAATCAGTGTAAGTACTTATGTTTTAAAATACTTGCTCACCATTTATTGTTTCTGTTATGTCCTTTGCTCCTAGTCCTTCCTGTGCTGCCCAAAGAAGAGATGCAAATTAAAATCCTATGAAAAAATACACCAAGGAGAAGATCCACTTGGCTCTGCCTTGACACACATGGATTCGTTAGTCACTGAAGTCAGAGCTGGGTGGTTTTAGGCTCAATAAACCTATCAACATACCGTTTACAAACCTAAAAACACCAGGTAAGCCAGCAGTGTTTTACAGGGCAATGTCCCTGGATGTTGAGCATCCAGTTCTCCTGTGGGTTTGATGAGGTTAGGGGGTGGCTGGGGGAAAAGGAGCACATGCCTGCTCTGTGCACAGGTGGGATCTACCCTCCATAAGGGCTGCCGGGAGAAGTGGGAGCAGGCAGCTGGAGCAGGTTTTGGGGGTGAAGTTGGAGGGATTTGATGTGCTTTGGCAGCTGCTGCAACAGGTTGTGAGGAATTAACGTGGAGAGTTACACCAAGAACTGTAGTTCTGTTACACCAGTTACTCCCAATTTTACTGGTGATCTCCCCAGCTGGAATCCCGGTTCCTCTTTCTTCAAACTCAGTTGTGTTCTCTATAAGTTGGGAACTAATCTTGCAATAACTCAATAGAATATTTTTTGAGTCCCCTGTTCATGAGGGACTCAGTGGTTCCAGTACTGAGCCTTTTTTTTTGGTCCAAGTGTCAATGCCATATTTTTCCTTTTTATTTTCTTTACGTAAATTGCCAGGTAGCAGTTGGATTCCTCTTGAAGGTGCAGCACTGCTGCCTCTTTCCAGGCTCCTCTCTCCATTAAAGCACAGAGGTTACACAAATCCGTATTGATTGCCATTAATGGTATTTTCTCCTGAATTCTTCAGCAGCTCTCACTTTGCTCAGTGGCCTTTTGAGGCCTTGACTCTCCTTGCTGCCCATCACTTCTCAGGAGATTTGCCAGCTTGTTTTGCTGCAGCGCTCTGGGACTGCTCCAGCTGCCTGTTTCTGGAAAATGAGCATTATTACTCCAGGGAAGCTCACTGCCTGATTCCACATGAAACTCCTCTGGTGTAAGTTACGTAGGTGATCACAAAGTTTTAGCTGTAGAAGCTACTAACAAGTGTGTTTGGAGTCAGGGCTGGGCAGCGATCCTGCAGCGTGGCTCCAGCTGCTCCCCACACACAGAAAAGGGTTTTTTTGTGCTCTCCAAGCATTTTTCTTGAGGACTTTCATGTCCTTTAGGATATCAAGCATGCTGCCATGCCCAGAGGTGCCTTGGCTCTTGTCCCAGCAAGGACTGAAACCCACAGTGCTGCCCTAAAATGCTTCCAGTCTAGCAAGGGAAGCGTGGGATCATGAGAAATCAGCTATCCTGGCTCCAGAGGAACTACTCACTGCAGCCCCTTCCCTCTGAAGGACGACTGATGTTTCCTAACCTCAGGCCAAGCTGTCATTGCCTCAGGAAGTGTTTCTGATCTCTTGCCTAAATCTCCCTCATGACAGTTTCAGTCCATTGCTTCATGCCATGTCTCCTGTGCACATGGGGAAGATTTGTTCTCCTTTTATAGAATCTGTAAGGTTGGAAAAGACCTCTAAGATCACTGAGACCGGTGTCTGCAGTTTTGTGTCTGCACGGTGTGTTACATGTGGGGAAATGGGCTTTTCCTTCTTTGCTCCCAAAGTGAATGCAGTGGATGCATCTGCTGTTGGAACTGAGTCTGCCACTGGGACAGGCCCGCACATTCCTGCTCCTTAGAAAGTGTGGTGACACAGGGAAGAGCCGTGGCCCCAGAGCAGCCTGGCTGCCGGGACTGCTGAGACACAGCACAAAAACTCCTGGAATGATTTGTGGACTCGTGTGCTTGAGCACCTGCGCATCGTGGAAGGGATGAAGGGAAAACAAGACCATCTTGGTCTGTGCCATCTTTCAATGCTCTGCCATTCCCTGGCCGGCAGTAGGAGCAAGATACACCGCTGCTGGTAGTGTGCTGCTAACCTCATCCTGAGGCTGTGTCTGCAGGAGGAGGAGGAGGAGGGGAGAATGGCAGGGATAATGAGAGGATTACTTACAGCCAGCCTCACTGAGCCTCTCGTCAGTGCTGCTTTCAGAGCTGGGGGGGGGAGCGGGGAGGGATAGTTTAGGAATGTGAGGCTGGGAAGTGGTTTAATTAGGACATAGAGCTGCTCTGTCCTGAGTGCCAGCCCACCACTCCCTTCTAGTGCTCGGGGCTCCCCTCCTCCTCCATCCAGCACAGACAGGGCTCAGCTATGCAAATGCATCAGTGACTGCTTATTCCCCTGTGACTCCTGCTCTCCTGTGCTTCCCCATTAAAGAGCCCAGGGACCCCTGCAGGTCCCATAGCCCAGTGATCCCTATAAGAGCTCCCACAGCCCAGAAATCCCTGTGGTTCCCACAGCCCAATGATCCCTGCAGCTCCCACGGCTCCCATCCCCGGGGCTGTGTGGGCAGCAACAGTGATCCCGTGTCCTGAAGCCTCTGAAATCATCATGAGCGATCCCTTATGGCCATCCCTGGAGCATCCCCGAGCTGCACCCAGGGACGAGGCTGAGGGCCATGGGCTCAGTCACTCACTGCCATTTAAAGGGGGTGGGTGGCAGCCCCAGCATCGATTTTCTCTCTAGTACAAATCCCATGTTATTCCCCTCTGGATTTCCGTTTCTCCTTGTCTCCTTGCACCTGCCTTATGGGACAGGGCACAAAAAACCGGCATTGCCCTGGTAGCTACTCTCCCAGTCTTCTCAGACCAGCAGCATCACTGGCAAGGCTCAGCCATCCCCAGCTGCTGCCTACCCACTCCCACGCTGTCCATGGGGATTATCATCCAGGGCTCACATTAACCCTCTTAGCCCAGCTGGAACACGTGTGCCAGAGCTGCTCCTGCCCCATGGCCCCTAAAGCCTTTCCCAGTTCCCAGAGTCCCAGCACCAGCCACTCCAGCACTGGCCTGCATACTTCCCTGCAGCTCTGGAATTAGATTGATTTCCTGCAGCCTGATTACACCATTGCCCAGAAAACAGGAATTTATTTATATTTTTAATCTAATTTGGAGAAAGGTATTGCTCTGGAAAACAGGTGTATGATCAGCCACAGGGAAGCAGTGGCTGCTTGAAATGGAGTTCTGGGAGCTGCACATGGGGATGGTTTGGTTTTAAATCTGTTTGGAATTGGAGGTACAACTTGAGGAGATGATGTTTTCTCTCACATTACAGGCTGCCATCTTAAAGCCCTGCTGATGCTGTTTAGTTTGGATTTATTTTTTTCCCTGCTGATACAATTTTCAGGAACAAATCCCTGTTGGAGAGCTGCCGGGGTGCCAGTGGCTGCTGTCACCCCCCTTCTTTTCTGTGTGCATTAATGAGTAGTCAGTTAAAAATCGATTTGTACACATTTTGTGCAGGGCATGTTACTGCAGTAGGATGGTGTATGACACATGAACTGACCAATTTTGTAATACTGTTTAAAAAAAACCCAACACACAAGTGTGCTCAAGAGGCCCCACTGGCCTCCCAGGCACCTGGGAATTACGCTTCAATCCTTTAATTCCCCGCCAGTCCCCTGTCCCCATGCTGGCTTTGTGTGCTGTGGCCTAACAGCGATTTCTGTGCATTTTTACAAATGAATGATTTCAAATAGATTAAATATCGATGGTTAAAAGGCTCATTCAACAACTCTCTGGTCTTTGTCAGCTTAAAAGGGTGACTGAGAACCCTGCTGGCAGAGCCCAGCCCTGGTGATATGACTGCCATTGACTTTCCTCCACCGGGGAAGGATTAAAGTGTTGTGATCCTCAGCCCATCCCGCTCTGTGAGAACCTTCCTGCCCTTCCCCAGCCCCACGCCAGGCTCCCTTCTCCTGTTGTATCCCTGTGGTTCTTTCTACTCGCCTTTATCCAGCTGACAGTGGACTTACTGCTGAGATTAAAACCCGAGTTTCTAAGGAGGGTTCAGCCTCTGCCTCCCCAGGTGTCTGTTGAACACTTGCTTTTTTAATGAAGAAGGACTTTGTTATCTCAGGAAAGAAACTTCTCTAGAGAAGAGCAGTGGTGAGGACGGGGGTATCTGTAGGTTATCCGTTAATTCCTATTAATTGCACAAGTTGTCCCATCCCTTTGGCTTTAGTTACCCTGTCCCGCTGCTGCTCAGCATCGTCCTTGCCGCTCAGAGGGGAGTCAGGCCCATCTGGGTGAGTATCAGTGTATTTGTGTACTCAAGTCCCAGCCTATCCCAGCCCTGTGGGGTCTTGGTTTCTGTGGGTCTGGCCGGAGCCCGTCCTTGTGACTGGAACCCCCGTGGCAGCAGAGTGGCAGTGGGCAGCACGACCCTCCCTTTTCCCACGCTTTTAGGGGGCTTTCGGCTGGGGAGCAGCTTCCCACCAGGAGTCTTGGGGACACACAGAACACAACCAGCCAGAGCCATTGCAGAACCAGTGTTTATGAGGGTGACCGAGTCAGCCAGTGCTCACAAGCCACGACACAGAGGTGCCAAACAGGGCCACAGCACAGTGGGGCCGTGCTGCTCCGGTGGCAGCAGCGCGAAGGTGAGGCGGGACATGGAGCAGCGCTGGCAGACAGAGGGGTTCACCAGGGGCCAGCATATCCTACTGAGAATCCCCACAGCCTCTCTAGGCCCCTCCAGGGACTGGTCAGTGAGAAGCAATGGACCAGCCTGCCCACAGTCCCTGGCTCCTCACAGGATGCAGAGGAAGAAAATGGAGCAAGGTGTCCATGATGCAAGGCCTGGCAGGTCAGCTCCACTGACTTCCAAAACATGCTGAAACCCCCTTCCCTTCTACTTTAGCCCAGCCATGGGCAAATTAGCCACGGGTGGTTGCAACAGTGTTGCTGGGGACCCTCCATGACACCCTTGCAGCTGGAGTGACCCCAGAACATGGGGATGATCACTGGGGAGGGGGCAACACTGAAAAGCACCTGCTGAGCCCGTCCCAAGTCCCAGAGAGCCTGGGAGGGGCATCACAGGGGGCTGAGCCCCTCCTGGTGGGGCGGGTGGTGCTGCCGGGGCACAGCAAAAGCGGGGAGCCAGCTCCAGGCAGATCAGGGATGCTGCTGAGGACCTCCAGGGACAAGGCAACACATCTGGGATCCTGAGCATCCACAGCCCGCTCAGGGCTGGGGCAGGAGCCTGGCTATGGCATTATGTTCCCGTGGGCATGGCCCCCAGCTCCCCCCGAAACGGGCAATTCCAGCGGCTGGGAAGATGCAATTGAGTTGCTGCATGGCCACCCACTCTGGCCATGTCCCTTCTCTACCTCCTCCACCATCGGCCCCCTCAGTCCCAACCTTTGAGGAGAGCAGCCCTGGGGATGGGGATGGCGGGGATGGCAGGGATGGTAGGGATGCTTGTGGGGAGGCCCCTGCCTCCTTCTGAAGGGACTCTGAGGGAGGCAGAGGGGCTCTGCAGGAGGAAAGGGGGCTGCAGTCAGGGCTGCAGACAGGATGAGAGCCAGGATAGGCAGCGCTGTGCTTCCTGTCCCAGTCCCCAGGGAACCTCTGCATCCCTGGCTGCCAGCGGACAGGAGGTGTGCTGCACAGTGCCAGGGTGCACTCGAGGAGAGGTGACAAGGACACGCCTCCTCATGAGTAGGGCAGGCACTGGGCTGAGACCCAGTTCCTGAGTGCAGGGGATGGGGAGGGAGGGAGCCGGCCCCTCCACGCTCTGTGGGGAGCGTGTGGTAAGGGTGAGCATCCTCATCCTCTCCAAATAGAACCCCATGCCCAGGGCAGCCCTGGTGGCTCTGCTGTCAGAGGGACCAGGAGGAGGGGGATGGGTCTCTGGCCTCACTGTGGGAGGGGGTTCCGATGCTCCCATCACCAGGTGCCCCCATCCCCTGGGGTGTCATCTCTTGCAGTCATCGGTGTCGGTGTCCGGGAGACCAGCAGTGGGCTGGGAGGTGGGCTGGACCGGCTGCACCCTCTCCTCCAGGCTGCCGCTGGGGAACACCACGTAGCGGGCGCTGAGGCGCTGGGGCCGCAGCTCCCGCAGGTTCTCCTTGCTGTGCCACATGCCATAGCTGAAGTAGACGAGCAGGCCTGCAGGGGGGACAGGAACAGCAGCAGCTCCAGCACAGCCTGGCCACTGGCACAGTCCTGGCTGGCATCCCAGCAGCTGGATTACTCACCTAAGAGCAGCCAGACTGCGAAGCGGAGCCACGTCATGTAGCTGAGCTTCAGCATCAGGTAGATGTTGAGAACGATGCTCAGTGCCGGGGAGAGGGGCACCAGTGGGATCTGTGGGAGGAAAGGAGCCGGTGGGACTGAGACCTGCAGGACCACATTTCTCATCCTTAAAATCATAAAGACAAAAGGCAGCACTGGCAAACATGGGAGACAAAGGGACTGTCACCCTGGAATTTCTAGAAGTGGCACTTTTTTTTAAGGTAAAAGGCAGGCAAAAGGAACAAGGGAGCCAGGAGCTGGGAGTGAGGCTGACAGGGTCGGCACAGGCATCATCATGAGAACCAAACTCCTGGTGTGATCCAGAGCCAACGTGGTCCTTGCTGGAGAAGCCAGGGCAGGGGTATGGCAGGGAGGTGGTGTCACCACTGCTGTTACCATCCACATGGCTGCACTGACCACATCAGGGCTCAGATGGGCTGAAAACAGGAGACAGTGGCACAGAAGGCACAGAAAAGGT